CACCTTCTGAAAATCAGTAGTGATTGGAAGTAACCGATTATGTATTCCAACTTCCTTAGTGTTATAATATACATAATACACCATTTAAATTTTCTAGTTTTAGCAACATTTGGAATTTGACAAGTGAATATTTTGGTAACACTGAAATAACCATGGAAATAACAGTAATTTTTTGTTTTATTTTGTTAATAAATGTTGAACAAATGTATGTAAATATGTAAAACAATACGGCTTTATGTGTCAAGCATTTTTCTATTTGCTTCATTTTTACAAAGATTTCTTAAAGCGTGGGATTTTAAATAGAAAATCAAACAAAACGATTGAATCAAATCAAATCAAATATTTACTTAATCTAATGTCAGATATTTAACAGATTTTTCTAAATATTCTGTCACTTTTTATTGAGGTGATGCCATAGTGTGTTTGTACATTAAAACAAGAAAACTTTTAAAAGCCGGTAATAGAGTTGCCGTAAAAATAGCGGTTGAAACGGCATTAACTTGTTTTTTTATTTATTATTATTTTTTAAGATGGTTTTGTGAAATGCATCTTCTAGCCATATACAATAATTTCAATAATCCATTTTAATGCTTTGGAAACCAATGTGCTGCTGAACTTTTTGTTATTGTTTATTTTATTGTTTTTCCCCAACAAATACTATCATCATGACGTTAAATCAAGTGTGTGTGCCTGGCAACCACCTCTCACTCAATCACTAGCTGGCTGGAATTGTAAATAAGTATTTCAAGTTGGTGATGAGTTTGAGTATGATGATCCGTTATAAAATGCATCTTTTTTTATAATATTAAACGTGTTTCATCTTTAGATTTTTGTTTTCTTTTAATTACCATACACATGAATTGTGTTTTAAGTTTTTTTTTTACAGAAACTTCTTTTCATTGAAGTAGTATTTCTGTAGGAAAAAATAAATAAATTACAATAAAACAAACATATAAATATTTTGTATACAAGTTTCATATGACGTAAATGTCATTTTTAAAATTTAAATGCATTTATGCATAAAACAAAAAATACTAACTTAAATTTATGTATGTAATGAATGTATTGTGTATTTTAGAATTAGAAGTCTCCGCGTATAATAGTTATTGTTGTAGTAAAATCATTTCAGATGCGAGGGCAGGCTGACAATTATGCTGAAATCTAATAGCATTTGTTTTCATTAGCTAACATAAATACTGTTTCATATTTGATTTAGAATGAATTAGTGGAAACTAAAATGGATTTGTCTATTTTGTATATTGCACAAAAACAGATTTTAAGCGATCTTAGTTTGCACTGAAGTTTCAAAAACTGTCAAGGGTATTTGCTCACCGTCCCCCAGCCTAAACTTTACGCAATTAATATGGCGTGTAAACCCTAGAATGTCACCTATATAAGGGCAGGATCATTTAAAGGATATAAACATATGCTTAATGATATTCCAGCATTCCATATAAACTAACATAATCTCTACCCATTTCTTAAGTTGGAGTTCCACACCACGCTTTCTACGCTTCGTCGCATTCTACGCGGCTGTCAAAAAAGTAGAATCAATGTTGTTGTGTGCAACAAGTTACAAGCACAAAAGCGTAGGATACCTTGACGCGTAGAATGCTTAAAATAGATCTACTTTCTACTTTTATAAGCGTCATAAGCGGCGCACGAACATGTCAGCTGATTTGACTATTTATATTCTATTTTGAATGTGTATTATGAATTTTAATAAACTAAAAATAATGTAACTCGCGAAGTTCTTTATAAATAAAGCAAAAAAATTTACGCCTAAGAAGCGTTGCATGTAACTTGATGCGTAGGATGCAGGGAAGGTATGAAATGCACGCAATGCTTTGCCGCGAAAACGCGTAGTGTGGACCTCCAGCTTTATTATTCGAATGAGTATGAAAAAAACTCAATTACTTCTTACTTTAATTTCAAAACCTACAGGATATAGGATTTGGGTAAGAGGTCAAGTTTAATATAGCCCTTGTTTAGAAGAACTTCTTGACCGTAGGTTTCTATAGATCTAGTTTAAAACGTCTTGTCCTTAGGTATGCCTCTCCATCTGATTTGCTTCGTTCTTTCAGACATCAACATCAAATTTCTTGTTTTACACTCAAAACGACCTGCGTATTCTATATCCGTATCCAAATTATAATAGATATTTATGTGTTAGTTGCCATACAAATACAAATGAAAGAAAAAGAATCACCATTTTTGAATTAGATTTACAGTTTGTTCGTTTTTATTATAATATAAGTGTTACAGTTTATTTTATTATTTATTTATTTGTTTGGACTTTAAAGAAAAGTGTAACACGCATGCTGACTGCTTGACTGCAGCATCATTTTGTGAAGTGGTTAGAAAATGTTTATCTAAATGTTTTGTAATTTATGGCAAGAGTCAAGAGTTAGTGAGTGATTCTTCAATTCAAGATATCTATGGAACTCACTTTTGTTTAGATTGTGTTAATTATTATTAGTTTTTTCTAATATGTAACATAATTTGTAATAAAAATAGAAAGAAAGAAAATTACAAATTTAAAAGCTCTGTCAATGGATATAATTAGAATGACAGCAAAAATATTAACACTTTAGATATGGAAAGGAATAGCAAAATTCTTGAACATTTTACTTTTAATACGTCCTTCAGTTAGCGTTTACCGTTTGCTAACAATGAACTAATCAATTATCGCAAAATTTTTAGTTAGGTTAAAGGAGAATGTATACTATATCAGATCCGATTAAATACCTAAGCCGCAACCGGGCCTGTTGTATGTCCTTTATATGGAAAATTTTGGCAAAATTAATACTTATATAGTAATCTATTGACCGAAGTTCTAAAAGTCAGTTTCCTATATATAGTTCTTTAGAGTTCTGCAATCAAAGTTTCTGAGGGATGTATGTAATATCTGAAAAAATTGCTCTCCAGATATTTAGATCCTATCAATTACTAAGAAAGTATTAGCTAAAACTCAACTAACTCTAAAATAAAACCAATTAGTGATGGCAAAACTTAAATATTTCACATAAAAATTGTTAACATTTTCCAAAGTCACAAGCCATGGATTACTCTTAAGGATCTAATATAAAATGAAATTCCATTTCAATTTAAAATTTTTAACTTATGTATTTCTACATTATTTTATTTTTATTTTTTAATTATCACCTTATTTATACAATTTTCAACTAATATATTTGCTTTATAAAATATTTGCTGCACATCTGATCAGAGTTGCCCATAGTGGATGGATTTCAGTTATTCACCCAAAACGTAAAAATTACTTGTGTAGAATATGGGTATGTCACAGAAAAAGTTGTATGTTGTATTTTAGAAAAAAATGTATGTGGAAAATAATACAAATAATATTGAAAATAAGAAAATAAATTATTGTATAGTGAATGAAAGAAAGAAAAGTGGCGTGTGCTCATGCGCCTAATATGCAGATGTGACACCGACACGATACATCTAGTGAAATATCTACAATAATAATGAAAAAAAAACCGATTACAATGACGTTTTTTAAATCTAAAGCAAATATACACAGACAATAATAAAAATTGTAGATTTTATGTACACTTGAAATAAAAATTGCTAACATTCTGTGACAAAATTTGTGAAAAAAATATTGGCCTTTTCTCAATAAACTTTGTACCTCAAACGATCTCTTCAAGGATATGCCTAGCTTCCCACGTTTCGAAACAACCTGTGCCACACTCGGCCAAAGACTGTCAACTCAGCGACAGCTGTACCAAATTCAAAATTTTATAGATTGAATAGATTGATTTGATTTTTGGTCAAAATTGTTCGAAATAAAGAATGTATACAAAAAAGGTAAAAGAGATTATATGTTAGTCTTTGGCAATGCCTGTTTTGGTCTAAAGTCCCTTTAACTTAACTTAGAAACGTTACGGGGAGCAGACAGAACATTTGTTCACTCATTTCATAATAAAACTCTAAAAATCTTAACTTTTTTTGTCAGTGTACAAAGTCAAGACTAGTGACATCAAATCTAGTTTGTTTTTTTTTTTTTTTTTTGTTTCAAAAAGGAATAAAATATGATCACGGCAAGTTTCTAACATTGGCTGTAGATGTTGACGCTGTTGTTGTTGTGTTGTTTATAATTTTTCTAAGATGCAGTTATTTTGCTTATTCACCGAACGGGGACAAAACTACTTCTAAACCAGTTCACACACAGTACAAAGATCTTTAGATCTTTGTTTTCTAGTCTTTGTTGCAATTTTTATGTGTGTATGATATTTTGTTGTTGTTTTTTTCATTTGCCAACAACTTTTTCCAGCCATACATCCAAATCAACTAACGAACCCACCACCAGCCGACCGACCGACCAACCGCCCGTCTAACAAACATAAAAATATACAGTTAAACCTCGTTTAGCGGGATACATTTTAATTATCTTGTTTGAAATCTGTTATCCGTGGTATATTAATATATAAGCTTCACTAAACGTTTTTACGATTTCGATTTTTCGGTGCTAGATGCGATTCCATTTGTACCACTTAATTGAGATTTAACTGTTAATATTAATGTATTAGTATGACCTTAGTTGTTGTTGTAGTTTGTTGCATTCATTGTTTTTTTCTTTTGTGTGCATAATTTTTTTTTATTGGGAATAATCACAATGTCTGTGGGAATAAAATACACGAGTGTGAATCATGGAAATCAGTTTATTTATCATTTTTTTCTAGCCCAAAACAATATAAAATTATTAATTTGAACAACTCATGATTTTACACTAATGCTCTCTATTAGATTAGAGTAGTTGTTTTCTTTTAGAGATTCTCTACATATTCATATAAGGTCTGGTTTTTAAATTGTAGAAAATTTTAATTTTTTTTTAGTTAAACTGTATGAAAACTTCAAAAGATGTATTTCTTTAACAAGTGAGAGAAGATTTCATTGTTTATCCTTTTATCTTTCAGTCCTTTTGTCTTTTTTTTTAACAACTTTTTAATAATTTTCTATTTTCTTCAAAATTTCAGACATTCACAGCTTGGTGCAACAGTCATTTGCGTAAAGCTGGCACCTCCATTGACAATATTGAAGATGATTTCCGTAATGGTTTGAAATTGATGTTGTTGCTCGAGGTTATCTCTGGTGAAACTTTGCCCAAGCCCGATCGTGGTAAAATGCGTTTCCATAAAATTGCCAATGTCAACAAAGCCTTGGACTTTATTGCCTCCAAAGGTGTACATTTGGTATCGATTGGTGCCGAAGAAATTGTCGATGGCAATTTAAAGATGACACTTGGTATGATCTGGACCATCATCTTGCGTTTTGCCATTCAAGATATCTCTGTTGAAGAGATGACCGCCAAGGAGGGCTTGTTGTTGTGGTGCCAACGCAAAACCGCCCCCTACAAGAATGTCAATGTACAGAACTTCCATCTTTCATTCAAGGTTTGTAAAATGATTGTTAACCCCAAAAAAAAAAAAAAGAAATCACAGATTAACGTATTGATTTTATCATATAGGACGGTTTAGCCTTCTGTGCTTTGATCCATCGCCACAGGCCCGACTTGATTGACTATTCCAAACTCTCCAAAGACAATCCATTGGAAAATCTCAACACTGCCTTTGATGTTGCTGAGAAATATCTCGATATTCCTAGAATGTTGGATCCTGATGGTGAGTCACTCTTTATAATTTGTTGTAATTTCCAACTTATAATTAGTATGTTTTTATTAAGAGTAACTTTAATTTAGTATTAGTAGCACCTTTATTTTATTTATATTTCCCAAACACTTTTACATTATTTCTTTCTTTTGTTTTTATTTCTATTTATTATTTCATTTTTATAAATCCTACGAATCAACGAAAAAAACAATCACAAAAACTATTATTTATGTAACATTTTATTTGGGTGATGGTGGCAATTAAACTAAAATACAAAATAAAAATCAAATAAATATGTATATGAATAAACAAATATATAGATTTGATCAACACTCCCAAGCCGGATGAACGTGCTATCATGACATATGTCTCTTGCTATTACCACGCCTTCCAGGGAGCCCAACAGGTTGGAAATGTGACGCATGTACCCGAACCCACAAGACAATACACCTACGTCCCGAATAATTACAATGTGACTAAACTTCACATCAATACACTTGATACATTTTTTATTATTTCTTTTTATTTGATTTTTCGTTACTGCAGTTTGTTTTTTGGAAAATCTTCTCTTCTACTTTCCTCTTTTTTAATATTAATTAAAAAAATATCTTCTTTAATTTCGTATTTAATACTCTTTAAATAACAAAAAAATGAACATCTTTAACATTGAGATGCCAGTGGCTTTAATCTCTCTAACTTATTGATGTTGCTCCAAAAACAAAAATAATGCATTCCTTTGCAAAAAAAAAAAAAAATATTTATGTATAAGAAATGAAAGAAATTGTTGTGAAGCCACACAAATTTTGAAACCATTCATGAATTTCTATAATTTTTTTCTTTTCTTATTAAGGCGCTTTATTAAAACCACAAATATATTAAAATTTGCTTTTCTTCCTAAATAGTATATTGCAATTTATAAATTTAAAAAATTTGGCTTTCATTGTGATTAAAAAATAAACATTTTTTTCAATTATTTTTGAAATTTTCGTACTACATAGTTAGTTTATAGTACTCAATGATTCTTTTATGACTTAATTACTGAATCAGAGCAAATGTTTCTTTAAATATAATTTCCAAAAGACAAATTTAATGACATAAACTTCAACAGTACATAATCTAACATACAGAACAGTATTGCATAATTAATGTTGTTAGCAATTGCAAAAAGTATTTTTAATAAATCATTTTAAATTTATTAAATAACTGTTACTAAATAATCTCCTTTATATTAAGTTAAATTTTCAAAACAATTTAATTATATTAACGATTTTAATTATGCAATACACTATTGACATATGACAGAGTTACATTTTAATTCACTTAACAACAGTCAAAAATTTATCAAAACATTTCTAAATTTATTAACATTTTGTGTTAATTGTTGTTAATTACTTTATTTTTGTCAATAACTTTTAAAATAATTCCAAAGGAGGCACACAAAATAGACCTCTCCAAAAATAAAGCCTTTTTATCACAAGTCTTTAAATTTGAAAAAAAAATAAAAAAATATATAAATAAACATTGTAAATATACTACTTATGACTACTATAATCTGCTGTGCATGCCCCTGCATTTTTTAAATTTAATTATATTATATTTTATAAACTAATTTAAATTTATGCCTGCTTATTGTTTTTTTAATGTTTTGAATTGTATAACTAACTTGTTTTTTATGTTTTGTTTTGTTGCTTTTTTTCTCTACTTTTTAAAATGCCATTCTAACAGACCTGCAGAATACCGCTTTGCCAGATGAAAGGGCAGTCATGACATATGTTTCTTCATATTATCATTGCTTCAGTGGTGCCCAAAAGGTTAGTTCCTTCACTCTCTCCACCAAAAAAGAAAATCGAAAGAAAGTAGTTTCCATACTTTTTTGTAAGTTCTCAAGGAGTGGATTTTTTGCATAACTTTAAAAATAATTATTATATAATAGAACTTCATTATTGATTTGCTTCAATATTAGGTGGACAATTTCACCTTAGTTGTTAGGAATTCCATTTCATAGTGGTTTTCTTTCATTAATTTTTTATAAATTTATCCTGTAATAACTGCAGGCCATCAACATTTGAAATAAGTTGAATATACTTTTCTTAAGGATTGAACTGAGATGCAGCGTAATTGACCACATAATCAAATGAAATAGGTTCCCCATTCCCATATTTTCTTCGCCAACTTTGTTCATGTGAGAAAATTTTCCATGTTTTGAAATTTGCTGATGCATTTTTTGTAAACAATAAACAGCTGTTACAAACAAAATCAACCATTGTGAATGAAAAGTTAAAGGGAATTTCATGATAGCAATTTTCCCTTTGAGGAAAATGAATATTTCATGGGAATACAAATTTCACATGTTATTGCCGTTAAGGACGAATATGTTTATCAAACACTCCATATTCGAGACGCTATACATCTGCGCAAAGTCTTCTATTTGTGAAAATTTTGTTATGTCCCTGAAAGCTCTATATATTGGCTATAAAATAAATGCTTAACCTAATGTTTAACAAGCTATGAATGCCAAAAATTCCATTTTGCCTTTATTTTATGACAAAATTTTAACCGCCGATATCTCAGCAAATAGAGGAAATATCTAGTTTTAAGTTTGCTGTAAAACTAAGGCGAAAAAATGAACTTTTGTATTCATACTTTGCTTAGCATTTGGATTAAGATAAGTATCTTAAAGAAGTTACAATATAAAGCCAATATATAGGGCTTTCAAACATAACAAATTTTATAAATAAAGATGACTTCGGGCAGTTTTAACGTATCGATTAAGATGATGTGTAAATTCTGAGGTCAGTTCAATCTTGAATTTGTTTCCTGTGTAATTATACCTTCATTATCGATCGATGTGTAAGAATTGAGTTGGAAGCCTTATAGAGTCGACATTCAAAGATGTCTCTCTGAAATAGTTATAGGAAAACCTTAGAAGTCAAATAAATGTTCTTAGGAACTGTTTTCCGCAATTATGTTCTATTGAACAAATAAGGAATCAAAGAAAAACTAGTGGCAAATAACTGATTCCTAAAAATGCTTTACAATTCAGTAGGTTCAAGGTTTCCGCTCAAGAATCTTAACTCGAACTAGTTACTTTAGAAAATATAAAAAGATATAATCATTAGGAATAATATCCCACTTTAAAAATGTTTCCCCTAAAAGTGAAAAATGTTCTTAAAATAATTGCAATGCCCTAAATAACAAACGCTACTAATGCAAATGACAATGATGTTCGTTTTTTTTTAATGTTTTATATTTATATTTTTGTTTTGTTTCTTTTTTTTCTACACTTCTTCAATAGAGGAGTGTTACCGGATACTGTATTTAAATATATAGTATTAAACAACCTACAACATTAAACTAATAAATTTTTTTTCTTTAAACACAAATTAGGCGGAAACTGCTGCTAATCGCATTTGCAAAGTTTTGAAAGTCAACCAGGAGAATGAACGTCTTATGGAAGAGTATGAACGTCTTGCCAGCGATGTAAGTTTATTTTAGGGAAAATCCTTTAAAAGTTATCGTTTTATATGTTATTATTGCTTAATATTTTAGCTTTTGGAATGGATTCGCCGCACTATGCCTTGGTTGAACTCTCGCCAAGCTGATAACTCTTTGGCTGGTGTGCAAAAGAAATTGGAAGAATACCGCACCTACCGTCGCAAGCACAAGCCACCACGTGTTGAACAAAAAGCTAAGCTCGAAACTAACTTCAACACTTTGCAAACTAAATTGCGCCTCTCTAATCGCCCCGCCTATTTGCCCACTGAAGGTAAAACCGTTGGTGATATCTCCAATGCCTGGAAGGGTTTGGAACTCGCCGAAAAGGCCTTCGAAGAATGGCTTTTGGCTGAAACCATGCGTTTGGAACGCTTGGAACATTTGGCCCAAAAATTCAAGCACAAGGCCGATGCCCACGAAGACTGGACTCGTGGCAAGGAGGAGATGTTGCAATCGCAAGATTTCCGTCAATGCAAATTGAACGATTTAAAGGCTTTGAAAAAGAAACACGAAGCTTTCGAATCCGATTTGGCCGCTCACCAGGATCGCGTTGAGCAAATTGCTGCCATTGCCCAAGAGCTCAAGTAAGTTTTCTAACCAAAGTTTTTGTAATGTTTTTAGGAATTTAGAATGGCTAACAATCTTTTTTTTTAATAATCTTACATGCTAACAAATACATATGTATTTTATAATGGTTCATAAGTGTGAGGTTCGATTGTAATATTAATAAATTAAATTTAACGATTCACATTTTTCATCTAAATATATGCATAAATATTGAAAAATATTAAACATCATACTTAATGGCTATCCACTTTTTACTATTCTGTTTAGTGAATAAACTTTCGATATTTAAAAAATAAGACATGATTTACAAACTTCCATCCAAACTTTTTATGTATTCAATCGAAAGGTTAACTCGATTCTCTATTTTGTAGTTAAGACAAAATTTTGAATTTCTTTAAAATCACAATAAGTCATTATTGAATCCAAAATGCACTGTTCATAGTACAGAATGAAAAGAAAATTAACACCTTAATACTAAATTACAAATATCATTGTTTTTCTACTAAATAGGATCAGAACTCATAATCATCAATAATAATATTTAAAACAATTGTTTAAAAATACATGGTTTTTATTTCTCACTTTAGCACTCTTGAGTATCATGACTGCATCTCCGTGAATGCTCGTTGCCAACGCATTTGCGATCAATGGGATCGTTTGGGTGCTTTGACTCAACGTCGCCGCACTGCTTTGGATGAAGCTGAGCGTATTTTAGAGAAAATCGACATTTTGCATCTTGAATTCGCCAAGCGCGCCGCTCCCTTCAACAACTGGTTGGACGGTACACGCGAAGATCTTGTCGATATGTTCATTGTTCATACCATGGAAGAAATTCAAGGTCTCATCCAAGCTCACGATCAGTTCAAGGCCACTTTGGGCGAAGCTGATAAGGAATTCAATTTGATTGTCAACTTGGTACGTGAAGTTGAATCGATTGTTAAGCAACACCAAATCCCCGGTGGTTTGGAGAACCCCTACACCACTCTTACCGCCAACGAAATGACACGCAAGTGGAGCGATGTCCGCCAATTGGTGCCACAACGTGACCAAACTTTGGCCAATGAATTACGCAAACAACAGAACAATGAAATGTTGCGCAGACAATTTGCCGAAAAGGCCAACGTTGTTGGTCCCTGGATTGAGCGCCAAATGGATGCCGTCACCGCCATCGGTATGGGTCTCCAAGGTTCTTTGGAAGATCAGTTGCACCGTCTCAAGGAATACGAACAAGCTGTATATGCTTACAAACCCAATATCGAAGAATTGGAGAAGATCCATCAAGCCGTCCAAGAGTCGATGATCTTTGAAAACCGCTACACCAACTACACCATGGAAACTCTCCGTGTCGGCTGGGAACAATTGCTCACCTCCATTAACCGTAACATCAACGAGGTTGAAAACCAAATTCTCACCCGTGATTCTAAGGGCATCAGCCAAGAACAATTGAACGAATTCCGTTCCAGCTTCAACCACTTCGATAAGAACCGCACTGGCCGTTTGACACCCGAAGAATTCAAGTCCTGCCTTGTCTCATTGGGCTACTCCATTGGCAAGGATCGTCAAGGCGAAATGGACTTCCAACGCATCTTAGCTGTTGTTGACCCCAACTCGACTGGCTACGTACACTTCGATGCCTTCCTTGACTTTATGACTCGCGAAAGCACCGACACCGATACTGCCGAACAAGTTATTGATTCATTCAGAATTTTGGCAGCTGATAAGGTAAGTCTTATACACGCTGTTCTTTAAACAACATAAACTTAATCTCTGACATTTGTCTATTGCAGCCATACATCTTGCCCGATGAACTGCGCCGTGAATTGCCACCAGATCAAGCTGAATACTGTATCCAACGTATGCCACCATACAAGGGACCCAACGGTGTACCCGGTGCCCTCGATTACATGTCATTCAGTACAGCTTTGTACGGTGAAACCGATTTGTAAACAAATCCACTCATGTGCCACAACATACAAATGTTAAACCAACCACTCAACTCAAATATAATTCACCAATCACTTGACTACTTAACAAAGAGTGAGAGCGACCGATAAACCGTTCGATTGGCCTACAACCAAACTCTAAAAACTATAATGTTTAAGTTTAATTGCAAAAAAAGTCTATATATTTCATTGTTTAATACTAACCCGCCCAAAAATTAATTTATTTTTACGTTACATTTGTTTTCGAGATGCATAAACTAAATGTCCTTTAAATACTAACCCCCGCACCGCAAAGTTACGTAAATCAATTAAAGTTTTTAATACAAAAAATCAAGAATTACGGATTTAAAGGCACTACAAAATCAACCAACCAAAACATCCACCCACCAACACGACTACTTAACATCCACATTAAGTTCCCCACAATTAACTGAACAATCGAATCGTATCATCTGTTATTAGTACACCACACATGCATATCCTTGTTGTCATCCTAGAGGCAAATAAATAATTATGGGAGAGTTTTTACCAACAACAACATCAAATATAAAATATAGAGAGAGAACTAACTCAACCTATTTATTATTTATTTACTTTACTAATTCATTTATTTATTTATTAATTATTATTTTATTTTTCTGTTTGTCGTACTTAAGATGAAACTCAACTTGTGGAGAATTTAATGAAACATACGTTCGTTCCATTTACATTGAGCATCTGCTGGCGTTTTTTGTTTTCAACTCAAGTTTACTTTCTAACGATTTATAAACTGAAATTGTCTGCAAAGACTGCTAACAACTCACGATGATCATTGTGAATGGAACCATAAAAAAAGGTTCGAGCATAAAAGCAAAGGGAAGAAATTTTAGTTAATATTATTAAATCACAATTATTTTAAATATAGAATTTATACTACATGAATAAATAAATAAATAAATATACATATATGTATGAACATGAGAATGTTTAAAGGCGAAAAGGGAGCGCTAAACAACATCCACAATAAAATTTTAATTCTTATACAAAATATATTTTTATTTTAACATTTTCATCTGAGATGAATTTTTTTAATAAGAATATTATACTAAACTTTGATATTTTTATTATTTTATTTTATTTGTATTATTTTATTTTTTATATATTTTAATTTTATAACTTTATTAATTTATATTTGTTTTATGATTTTTGTTAAATTAATTATTAATTTATTATAACAATTATGTTATTTTTATTATTACCGCCCATATAATTTGATTCTTTTAGTTTCTTTGTTTTCTTTATTTTTCTTTATTTATATTATCATTAAAAAAAAAAAAAAAACAAAAAATTATTTAATATTTTTTTAAATTAAGGCATAATAATACTACTACTATTACTTGATACTATTATAATATAAATATATAAACAAGAGGGAGAAATTATTTTATTACTATAATAATAATGATAATAATAATATTAATAACAACAACATAAACAAAATTATGAAGAACACCAAATCTATTAAAGAATGGAAGAAAACACATCAATCTATGTAAAATGTCGAATGATACAAAAACCAACTGAATCATTTTAATAAAAAAAAACTATTTACAAAACACAATTAAAAAAAAAACATACATTGGCTTTTATTTATGTTAATCTGGGATTTTGTTTTTTGGTTTCTCGATTCGAAAGAAAAAAATTAATTTGTATGTTAAATACATTGTGTTTCGAAATCTTTTTATTTCAAATCGAAATAAGATGTAACCCCCTGTTTTTGAGAGCGCAGAACGAATATCATATACCCACCATCAAAACCTAGTCATATATCGTTAAATTTTCAGTGATGAATTTCTAAAAACAAAACCTTTTGTTGAAGTATGTACTCTACTTTGATTTTTATAATATAAATATATTATACGGCAAAGGGACAATTATGGACCGCTCCTTATGATCCGTTACTTGTATGACCAAAATGTTCAACTTTACCATTAACTGCGGCAGTTTTTGACCGATAGAGCTGAAAATTTGTATCTGACCTACTATCCAATATTACTAACCTTGGCGCAAATTTCATCCAATTTTTTGATTTGGTTCACTTGACACGATATTGCGTATACATATGTAGTTTTGTGGGTTTACGACCAAACGGAATGATAAAGACAATTGGATTCCGGCCACAATTGGATATTCGCTCGACCCGAATCATACTCTTCCAAAGATTGTTAACCCAGCGACAGCTGTATCAACCGAAAGTTTTTTCCCCAGGAATGAACTATCGGCCACAGTCGAACTGTTTCAATAACAACAATACTAAAACTGCCGATTTTCGTAATGATCGTACCTCATTTGACCTTCGCTCGCATACAAAGTCTCTTTCAACTATAAACACTATACGTAAAGGTAAATCCCTCTACCAATATCTATAAGAATAGGCCAATATTAAACCCTTGACCCCATTACACAATCTTACTTTTTTTGGACAACAAATTGTTAAAATATTTCGAAATTATGGTAAAAATAAATGTTATGCTTTATTGTAAAAAAATAATGGGACATGGCAGACCATGGTTATTCGTTTTATTTTACAGTTTTTTATTTACATATTATGTATATGATATTTGATATTTAATTTCATTAGATGTATAGATATTATGATAAAGACATGCAATGCGACATCCTTTAGAACAGTAAACCTGATCGGAACACATTGACTGGGCCAAATCCACAGCAGCCTTCGTGACAGCCTGGCAATAATCGTAGCACATAAAACAATCTGGATTTTTGTGACATTTATCGAAATTGGATGGATTTCCCATTACAAAATTTTCGTGCAGAATCTAAGTATAAGATATGTATAATATTAATTTTTATATTTAAAACCTTTGATATGACAATCTTACCTCTGTATAACATTTTTGACGACATTGTTTGACCTGAAAACTATTCCATAATCTGGAATCTTTTGATAAATGAATAGTGCTTCCATCAGTTTTATATACGATAAATATTAAGAGAATCACAAGCCATAAATACAAATATTTGCAAAACATTTTCTATAATAATTTTCACTGCAAGTAAATTTTACTCAACTTAATATGAATAAAGTCAATTTTGAACTGTTGCTCTGAAATAATTATCCTTCTGCTTATAAAGCAACTAACAATGACTTGCATGGTCTAAATATGTAAACATTTCATTGAAGAATCATGGGGTTTTTTCTAATGGAATGTATGTTTCCCATCTGAAAATTTTGCCTTACCAGGTAGTTAAACTTGGGAAAATTCTTTAATTCATAACTCATTTAAGGTACACAAAATCATAGCACTCAAACATTCAATTAGCGGATGTTTTTTTGATTTTGTCGTTATTGAAAACGACAAAGAATGCATTGATCTCTTATAATCTAAAATTATCGGTTTTGTGTTCCATCTCGAATCCAATTTTGAAAATAAGATTAAAATTTTTATCAAAATTTGTTTTTATTTTTTTAATTTAGTGCTAAAAGAGTAAAATATGCTCTACTAAAAATAATGCAAAATTATGCGTTTAAGGGTAAAATATGCTAAAATATGAGCTTACAAATCGATTTCTAGACATGACGAATCTGAAATGGTTATAGTTGAAAATTGAATATTTATATTTCATTCAATTTATAATATAAAGAATTAAAAAAGTAGTAGGTTGGGTTAGGTTGATAGGAGGATGTATCTACATCAAATCTTCGTGGTTCTACCCACGATTTCATTATTCCTAGAGGCCTTATGGATTTCTCTCACCCATAATTTCCATTCTTCCCTCGTTGCGTCAAATGGTTTTGCGTTTGTCAGGTTAACTACCTTTCCTCTGGGAGAGTATTCGGTTAGAGCCTTTTTTACAATCCAATACGGTTTTATATTTAACTTTAACGTCTGATATCGCCCTAATTACCTTCTGGCTGTCGGTAAATATGTTAAGTCCTGTAGTCGCCATATTTATTATAATCCAATTTACGCATTCCTTTATTGCTCGTACTTCTGCCTGGAAGCTAGTGTTGTGATTAGATAAACGGTGGTATATTTCTGTTTCTGGGTCTTTAATATAAAAACCCAGGTCCACTTTGTCTCCCAATTTAAAGTCATCCGTGTAGCAACGGATTCCTACTGGTATTTGCTCTAAAGTTCCGCTTGACCAAGACATCCTATCTGGGATCAGCGTTTCAAAGTTTCCGACATATTTTGTCTCTGGTATGCGATCGAGCACGTCCGATGATTATGTATAGCCCTCCAATGTGTCCAGTATATAGTGATGACGTGTCCTATAACCGCTTTTGGCCAGTTCGACTAAAGTTATGAGCCGTTCGGCTGTAAGTGCCGCCTCATATCTTATATATGCATGTATGTTTCAATGGGTGGAATATCTAGCATTATTTCCAGAGCCTTGATTGATGTACTGCTTATGGCTCCACTTATACCCAAGCAGCATATACGCTGAACTACCTGTAGAAGAAATCCACCCGATTATTTAAGCATAACTTAGAATTGGTCTAATTACACATTTATAGAGCCAATGTGTCATAGTAGGACTAAGGCCCCATTTCATGCCTATGGTTCTTCTACATAGCGCCCAGCACGGATGTGCCTTTCCTTTATGTGGTACCTCAATCTTAATTTCTGGTCAAGGATTACACCTAAGTACTTAACTCTGTCTGTCACCGGTATCTTCTTGCCCAGGATTGGATTCTTTCCCCTTAGAAGTACATATTACGACATCGTCTGCATAGCAGACAGCTCTAAGTCCTTTCTTGGTTAAGTTCCTTAGGATGCAATTAGGGATGCCAAACGGGACTGGCTTTTACAAATCCCGGGATTCGGGATTTTGAAAATTGCAATCCCGGGATCCCGGGATATTTCGGGATCCCGGGATTTTTCGGGATTCCGGGATTTTTCGGTATTTCGGGATTTTACGGGATTTCGGGATTACATGAATTTAATTATTTTATATATGAAAATCTTCAAATCATCATATTTGTAAAGAAAATCTTCAAATCATCATATTTGTAAAGAAAATTGTTTAATTTTGTGGAAATTTAACAGACAGAAGATATATTTAAATTAAAACAATCCAATTAATTCCAATTTTTAAATAAAAACTTTCAGAATTGCATAATTTCTGAAACTTTTTAAATACATACTTACTTCCTAAATGTGGCCTCCGGTAGGTTAGTGGTTAGTGTTCTAGTCTGGTAGACCGGAGGTGGTGGGTTCGATTCCCACCTGAGGCACTGGTTAAGGAGCGCACAACAGGCCCGATAGAGGCCTAGGTGTATTTCTTCGGATTTGATGTATATACATCCTCCTTTCAAACTAACTAACTAACTACTTCCTAAATAAAAATAAATATGAAGAAATTAGACATAAGCACTTTTTAAAACCTCATACTGTTCCATGTGAACTAATAATTATAACAGATACCAATTCAATTATTCGAACATCAATTTAGAACCTCTTCTTTGAAAAATATTTGGAATTTTACTCAAAATACATATTAGTTTTGGAACATATTATTATATTCGTAGTATTAATTTAAAATTTTAGGTGCATTCAGAACAAGGTAATTTACCTTTACCGGTATCATTCAGATTTGTAGAAAGTTAGAAATGTAAAATCCTCTAGTATTGAAAAATAAAGTTTGTATTCGACTGTGCCGAAATTAAATACCCACCATCAAAATATTGTAATGTATTGATATTAATATCAGCATCAATGTGATTTTCAGAGGAGGTCCAATTAGGTTTTTTTGTGTCAATTTTGGTCCAAATTTGCAGCCCAAATAGAATGAGTCTTCTAACTCGTGTTTTTAGCTTACAGACACAGAATGTGTATACTTTTTGGGTCGGTCTACGACCAACATTGCAATGTGCTAACAAGTAAAAAGTTATAGTTGGGCGAAGCCTACCATATAATACCCTACACCAGTTATAAAAATAAAATGTGATTTATTGTTCATAATAAAGCATCTAAGTTGAATTGTACCTTGCCTCAGATATAATTTAGCTATTTTTTGTTGAATAAAATTGTGTACATTTAAGTCATATTTCGAAGGGGGCTTTGCATAGGGGCTAGGGTCAAATGAGGCCGCATCATCAAAAAATACATCAGGGTCATGAAGGCTAGTATAGAACTTGGTTTTGCAGCTTTTTGTCGAGTTACGAGTATATTGAACATAATTATGAACTTAAAAACCCTATTTGGGGGGTTCAGTTGTATGGGGGCTAGGTCAAATATTGGACCGATGTTATCCATTTTCAATAGGATCCGTCTCTAGTACAATAGAAGATCATGCAAAATTTCATTGAATTATCTTCAAAATTGCTGTAGTTTGATTACAAGGTTTACACGGACAGACGGACGGACATAGCTAAATCGACTCAGAAAATGATTCTGAGCCGATTGGTATACTTTAAGGTATAGGACCAATATTATTGTGTGTAACAAACATCAGCACAAACCCAATATACCCTCCCCACTAAAGTGGTGTAAGGTATAAAAACGAAGTGAATAAATAAATTTATATGTGCTATGTGTATGGACTCATACCACTTTAAAAAATAAAAGGTTCAAATATGTATAAAATTAGCTCTGCGGAATTTTGTTTTGCATGAGTCAAAAATAAAATAAGATCGTAATTTTCAAATTAATGAAAATTATGGCTCAAAAAAAGAAAATAAAAACAGTTTTTTGAAACAAATCCTAATCCCGAAAAAATCCCGGGATTTATTTTCCAAATCCCGGGATTCGGGATTTGCCAATCCCGAAAAATCCCGGGATTTTCGGGATCGGGATTTCGGGATTGGCATCCCTAGATGCAATTTATCGAGGTTACCCAGGTTAAAGGGGACAAAATGCCCACCTGTGGTGTACCGCGAAATACCCTTTTCCTGATAGCTATATCGTACATCTCGCAGCTTATCCATCTGTTCCTTAGCATGTAGTTGATCCAGTTACGGAGCACCCGGTCAACATAAAACTGGCCTAAGGATTGGATAAAATTATCAGTGTGTACGTTATTGAAGGCGCCTTCGATGTCAATACATACCGCCAGTGTATACAGTTTTCTTTCGAAGGATTCACCTACATATATAGGATTCACTACATATATTGTTACATTTTAGTTTGATAATTCTAGTTTTTAAATTTTTTAAATAATTTTTAATCTTGTAAATCTTTAAATTTCATTACTTTTATTAAAAATTATCCTATGCCGATTTATGGTGGGTATTTTGTGGGTTACAAACATCAGTGCAAACCCCACTAAAGTATTGTAGGGTATAAAAACTATTTTATATTTATGTACATATTTATCTTTTTGTGGTAAAAATTGTGCTTTTATTTTGTTTAATATTCAACACTGTTCACTTCTTTGTTTGAAAAAAAAAATACAACTTTAAAATTGGGTAACCCTGATGAGTGTGAATAAGAAATGTAATCAACCACAATTTTTGCCTTCAGTCAATTTTAGTTGCGTTCTGTTTTCTAATAAAAATAAAGAATATCTAAAAGGTAATTTATAAATAAAAGTAGAAATACACAGTAGAATTACAGTTTTTAGTTGTGCACACATATTTATTGCCGAACCAACAAAACATGAATCAACAAGGAATTACTAAAAAGATACCAATTCCCAAAGATTCCAACAGAGTCGATAATTTAAATGGTAAACAATTTATTTTAAATATTTTAAAACAAAAACCTTTAACATGATTAAAAATTATATTAAAATTATGAAATTATTTATAAACATAGCTGTAAAATTACGATTAATAATCAATTAAATTATTTTTCAAAAATAATCGTAATGATTATTTAATTTTCTGGTATAAAATGTCTGATTATTAATTGATTACGATTAAAATTGATCTAAAAATAATCAGGATTAATTTAAATTAATGAAAATAATCAAAAATAATTAAAATTAATCAAATAATTAATTTGATTATTTTCAAGGATTAATTTTGATTAATTTCAATATATTTAGTATAATTTCCTACCTTTTTAAATTAAGCGTAATGGAAAACTTTTTTTCAAGTAATGACATTATTCAATTATATGATGTTTTATTGAAAACAATAAATTTATTAAGTTTATTTCTATTGAAAATCCTGATCTCAGTACATGTTATAAAAAAAAATTACTGCAATTTTTTCGAAATGGGTGTCAAAAAATCCGTAATTTTTAGCTGATTACGGGAAAAATAATTAAATTTTTCTTAGAGTTTTTTTTTTTTTGGGGAGGAAATTATACTAATATGGAAATATGAAAATAATCAACTAATTTTTTGATTAATTTTGATTATTTTGATTATTTTCATTAATTTCATTTAATTATTTTTAGATTATTTTTAATCGTAATCAATAATTAATTTAAAAAATTGAAAATATTCGTTAATTAATCATTAATTTTACTTGTTTAATAAAAAATTCTAATTAATAATGATAACGATTATTAATAATTATTTTCCAGCTATGTATGTTATAAATACAATGTGAACAAAATGTCTTTATGGGTAGAGATAAGAGGGTAATTCCCTTTTTAGCTTTTTAAAAAATCAATTATATTATTTGAACACAGTTGAATAGTTGATTTTTTTTATTCTACATGTTGTGTTGTACTGTCTAATGATATTTATTTTACTCATAGTGTTGCCAGTCTAATCATCGAAAAAGAATAAATTTTTCCGGGGTTTTCTGATAAAGATAATCTACATTCTTTTTTTAAACCTAGTTTAACCTTATTTTTGTGCTTTCAGTAATCAGTTACGTTAATTATTATCTTAGTTTAACTAAGTGTTATTTGCCAATTAAACCTTAGTTATAAGTGAGAAAACATAATCAACAAAAACAATAAAATAATCAATTCGGAAGAAGAAAAACAGCTGTTCATTGTATATGTTTTTGACAGAAAGTTGGCAATACTAACAAATGAAACTGGTTTTAATTCATTACTGAAAACACAATCAATCATAGGTTAAATTTCGCCTAAATTTGCTCCTATTTTAATTTAAACAGAAATTTAAGCTACGGTTAACTGAGTAGCAAGAAACCCACCCTAAGTATGCTATAATACTTTCATTATTTTGAATGATTTATCCCCATAAAATAAACTTACTCAGATTAATTTTTGTACTACATATTTTGATAGAATAGATTTTAATCTCAATAGAGTTTGTCACACTTGATTTTAATTCAATTTTGTTAGAATTTGATATGCATATTTTTAATTATATTTTAAATCAATATTAATTTATAAAATTCAAATATTTACAGAGGTTCTTAATGACTTCGTCGAGTTGTCGAAAATATCACAAAAATTGAAAGTAAAATACACAAATTTAGAAGAAGAGCTTCAGGACCACCTTAATATAATATCGTTATTAGAGAACGATAAAGCTACATTTGAAAGTCAATTAAAAGTAACCCAAAAAAAATTAAATGATACTAAATTAAATAATAATCGTCTTTTGGAAGAAAACTCAAAAATACCGATATTAAATGAAAAAATTACAAACTTAGAATGTCAATTGAAAGCTATCTCAAAGAACCTTCAAGAAAATACCACTAAATATACCAATCAGTTTAAAAGCGGCTAATGCAGAAAAAGCTGCATTAAATGATAAACTAAAACAGATATCTACAGAGCTAGATTCAAAAATTTAGCTTGTGCTAAATTATCTGAAGAAAATTCGAAAATTTCGAACTTAAATGCAGAGATTTCAAAACTAAAAAAACAATTTCATCAAACATCTTTGGAAAATGAGTTAATTAAAGAAAAATTCGAAAAACTTACAGCAGAAAATGCAACATTAGTACTATTGAAACAAAACGTCGCTGGAATTGGAGAACGAAATTTCAAATGTACTCAGCTATCGTTAGAGAATGTGGAACTAAAAAATAATTATGAAAAACTTACAGCTGAAAACTCAACATTAAGAGTAAAACAAGACGATATTTATAAAACAACATTGATGCTAAATCAGAATGTCAATACACTGGAACAAAAACTTAAACATGTAACATTACAGTTAGAAAAAGAAATTGCGACAGGTATTCAATTAAACGCGGAGAATCAAAAACTAAAATCTTTAAGCCCAGCTACAAGATCAGAATCAGGACAAATAGAGGAGAATATGAAAATCCAGCAACTTGAAGAAAAGCTTAAGCAGTTGTCAGCTGAGCTTGAAAAAGAAGTTTCTAAAAATAGCGCACTTGGAGAATATAACAAGCAGTTGGATCGACTTATAAGTGGATTGAAATCAAAAGCTAAATCAGAAACTGTTTCTACAAAATCAGTGGAAAATTTGAAAAAACCACAGGATCAATTGAATGTTAACAGCAATTTTAAAGTTCTCATTAGAGATGTACCTACCGATCAAATACTCAATCCATTAGAAAAAACTATAATAGATTTGGCTTCCAAAATGTCTATATGTGTAAATCGGGATGATATAACCCAAGTACGTTTCATGGAGCGTAAAGGCTTGAGCGAGTATTCTAATAAAGTTTCATTGTTAGTTGATTTCAAGACCTCTGAAATAAAAACAAATTTATTTCCAATCGCAGTAAATTGAAATTAAATACTTCTACTAAGCACATTCAGATAAAAGATTTTTTTTGAAAATGAAGTATATTCATTATTATTTTATGCCAATGAACATCTTCAACCTAATGGATTTCATAGAATTTGGTGCAAAGACAATCAAGTGTTTGCCAAAAAAAATGATTCTGATACGGAAATAGAAATTACGTCCCGAAATCAAGTCGATGTACTTGCAAAGCCAAATTGAAGAGCTTAAGTATTTGTTAAAAGTAATCAAAACGTGTTGCATTTTAGGAAAACAGTAATTAAATAAACGAACAATTTTGTTAATTAAGGACGTGTATGTATATAAATTTTTACGAATTTTTAATATATAAAATAAAAATAATTAAGTTACAAATGTCTAAATTTAACCATTTTTAAAATAAAATATCTATGTAACTATTTTACAAAATATTTTTTATCCAATCATGAGTTTTTATCTAAACATATTCTTGTGAAGCTTTAACGAAACAATAGGGGCTTTTTTTAATCACTGGATTTATTTTATTTCAAGAAAAAAAAACTATCTTTGGAAGCTGGAATTTAGTTTTGGACATCATTATCTGAAATACACTCTGTAAGCTAATATAAGGTCAAAGAAAAATTAATTTTAGTGCAAACATGGCGGTTCTGCAGCTAAAAGAAGTAAATCTAATTTGGATTTATTAAATCCAAAAAAATAGTTAGATTTAGCTAATTTCGATATGACAATGCTTTGTATTCATAGAACAAAACCAAAATAATTTTAAAATAAACTAATTTGTATTATTTTTCTATTCACCAATAGATGGCAAATATTTTTTAAAATGTGTAAAAATAGGAAAATAAACAAAATTCCTGTAACTAAAATATTGCACACATGATATGTTAGTGCAAATACCATTTTTGCAAAAAATTGTTACAAATTTTATGGAAATTTATGATTTTAATATTAAGTTTTGAAATAACTCCATCTGTTGGTCGCTGCTGACATTATAATTTGAAATTTGTTTAGCCTCGATTAAAACATTTTGCCTTATCCACCTGGCGTACAGTAACAGAACTAAAATTTAGATTTAATAAATCCAATTGTTTAAAAATGCTGCTAATTTCAAAAAACCTTGAAAAAATCTTAAAGAATTATGGGAAAATGAAACCAGATTCAGATAGAAATGGGTAATCAGTTTTTCGTAAAACATGACTTTGTTTTAACTTTTAACGGGCTGCGGGTAGTCACCTTGAGTCTTCGGGCACGGTGCATAGGCTTAAGCATCCTAAGGATGTGAACTAAGAACTACCCTCCCGATACCTCACAGCGTCTGTCCGGCTGTGGGTAATGACCATATTCGGTAGCCTAGCGATCACGACCTCAAATTGGTAGCGTCTGTTCCCTTAGTTAGGGCGGCTACCTAATCCCCCCTTCTTTTTTGATGTCGGTCCGGGACTGTGGTTTGGGTTACCTAGGCAACATACCTTTCAAGCGTCTGTTCCTTATGTTAAGGGCGGCTAGAAGGTACAATCTGGTTCTGTCAGTCTGAATGTTTTTGGTGGTAACAAAATCCAGGGTGCGTCTGACTCATATTGAGCGGCATCCTGGTCTGCGTCTGACTCCAGAGGAGCGGCAGTGTCTTCTTTCACACCTGTGGTAGAGGTATAAACTAACAAAACAACAACCCCCCTCCCCCAAGAAATGTCAGAATATAAAGACGTCCCTATGTCCTTGCTGCGTAAACATACCTACCACATACAGAAGTATGAGGCCATGCTAAATACTACTGTTGTGGAGGTCAGCCAGCCACGACTAAGACAGAACCAAACCAGAGCAGGCATGGGACCACATCTAAACATGTGCCCCATGCCAGCACTAGACCGAACACGGTCACCGTCTCGGAGAATCCTAACGTACAGCCATCTTCATCAAAGAAGGCCACGTCGGGACCAAAGAGGTGATGACCAATGCGGCAGGACAAAGTCTGCTAGCACAACACCCAAGGGACTGTCTGCATCTTCCTCTTCTCGAGGTACAGCGACGGTCACCAAAGGTCCAGCAAGCAGGCCTAGTATAAAGCGGCAAAGGTCAGGTGAAACGCAGGTGTCTGAGGGTATGCGGTTGAAGCCATCAACTAGCTTAACATCAGCACCTGAGCTGCAAATAGCCATTATAGACCGTTGTCATCCCGATGGGAAAATGACTACGGACAGATGGCTACTTCAGGAGGAGAAGATCTTGCGGGCACTAGTTGACGAACTCGCACGCAGTGAGGATGACTCCTTTACTGCGTTCGACGTTGCCAAATGGTCAAAGGGTGTCAAAATCATCGGATATGGTAATGAGAAAGCCCTAGGCTTTCTCAAAAACTGCATCCGTGGAGTTGGCGAACCCTGGCCCAACGCGAAGATTGAAATCGTCCCATTGGACCAAGTACCTTTTCGTACGACTGTTTTACAGCTGCTACATTTTCTTCGCGTGTTGGTGTGGCTACAATAACATCGTCCAGTGCCCCGTTTCTGTAATTCTCGCATCGAGAAAAACTGTCGAAAAATTCATGATCATCTTGTGTAAAACAGGGTGAATACATGAAATTTAAACATTTCTTATTCAATTTTAATGTGTACAGTTTAAAAATAATCAGAGTCACACTGTTAAAAACAGGAAGACTATTATATTTTAAGTTTTTTCTCGATTCGAGAAAAACACAGAAACGTCAGATAAGGAAAAACGCCTTTAATACCGGAAATAATTGATTCCATACACTGTTGAAAAGCACCAGGAGCCGATCTCACACCTGGGGCAAGCCGATTAAAAGTGTACAAGCCACGATAAGTGTTAATAACTAGTAGTTTATTTTGTTTCATCGTCGACTTCTATTTACTTGTAGGCATTATTTAAATCAATTATTGAAAACATTGAACAGTTGTTAGGTTAGGTTGATAGTAGGATGTATACTACATCAAATCTGAAGAAATACACCTAGGCCGCTATCGGGCCTGTTGTGTGCTCCAATTCATAAAAAAAAAAATTTCACTGAATGTATTATTTTTCCATGTTCAGAAACTCAGTTTCCTGGACGTAATTCCTAAGAATTTTCCAGTCAGTGTTAGTTAGGAATGTTATTTCCGGAATAACATCACTTCCAAGATACTTGGATCTAACTTCGACGAATGCCTGACAGTGGCAAAGAAAGTGCTCCAGAGTTTCACTGTCCTCTCCATATGCTCTACATTCGTCTGAATCCGCACGTCCAATTTTGTATAGATGTGCACGTAATCCTGTGTGTCCACTCAGAATACGTACCATCATACTAACCCCAGACTTGCTCATTTTGAGGAGATTTCTCGTCTTGCTCTCATCAGGGTCACCCCATAGAATTTTTGTGGTTCAACCCACCCTTCATTATTCCAAGAGGCCTTATGAAATTCTCTCATCCATATTTTTAATTGAGCTTTTGTTGCTTCGAATGGTTTTGCGTTTGTCAGGTTAACTGCATCGAGCTCCCTTCCCTTTAAAGCTATTACATTCGCCCTTTCGTTGCCGACTACTCCCGAGTGGCCTGGTACCCATATGATGTAAACCTTACCTCTGGGAGAGTATTCAGTTAAAACTTTCTTACAATCCAATACGGTCTTAGATTTAATTCTATCACCTGATATCGACCTAATTGCCTTCTGGCTGTCGGTAAATATATTAAGACTTGTGGGCGCAATATTTATTCTAATCCAATTTACACATTCCGTTATTGCTCGGACTTCTGCCTGGAAACTTGTGTTATGATTAGGTAAACGGTGGTATATTTCTGTTTCTGGGTCTTCAATATAGAACTCCAGGCCCCCTTTGTCCCCTAATTTAGAGCCATCTGTGTAGCAACGGATTCCTACTGGTTTTTGCTTCAATGTTCCGCTTGACCAAGACATTCTATCTGGGATTAGCGTTTCAAAGTTACCGACATATTCTGTGTCTGGTATGCGATCAGGCACATCCGATTAATGTGTATAACCTTCCAATGTGTCCAGTATACATTGATGACGTGTCCTATAACCGTTTTTGGCCAGTTCGCCTAAAGTAAAGAGCCGTTCGGCTGTAAGAGCCGCCTCATATCTTATATATGTTTCAATGGGTGGAATATCTAGCAACGTTTCCAGAGCCTTGGTTGAAGTAGTACACATGGCACCACTTATACCCAAGCAGCATGTACGCTGAACTCCCTGTAGTAGTTTGATATTACACTTTTTGTCCAAAGCAGTCCACCAGATTATTGAAGCATAAGCTAGAATTGGTCTAATTACACTTTTATAAAGCCAATTTGTCATAGTAGGACTAAGACCCATATCGCCCAGCACCGATGTGCCTTGTTGATCCTATCCTCTATGTGGTGTCTCCATTTTAATTTCCAGTCAATTATTACACCTAAGTACTTTGTCTGTCACCGTTATCTTCTTGCCCAGGAAGCAAGGTTCAGTATACGTAGAAATTTTTGTCTTTCTTGTGAAAAGACAGATTTCCGTCTTCGCCGGGTTAACATTAAGGCCTCTCGGTTGCCCAGCCCAGCTCAAGGCCGTATTCAGAGCCTCCTCAGCTCTTCTACACAAGTAATTTGGATCCTTTCCCTTTAAAAGTATTACGACATCGTCTGCATAGCAGACAGGTCTAAGTCCTTTCTCGGTTAGGGTCCTTAGGAGGCTATTAATCGTGGTAACCCAGAGTAAAGGTGACAAAATGCCACCCTCTGGTATACCGCGAAATACCTTTTTCCTTATAGTTATATCGTACATCTCGCAGCTTATCCATCTGTTCCTTAGCATGTAGTTGATCCAGTTACGGAGCGCCCGGTCAACATAAAACTGGTCTAGGGATTGGATAAGGGTATCAGTGTGCACGTTATTGAAAGCGCCGTCGATGTCAATGCATACCGCCAGTGTATACAGTTTGCTATCGAAAGATTCACCTATGTAGTGGTCAACTTCGTTTAAAGCGGTTTCCACCGATCGTCCCTTTACATAAGCATGCTGCTTATATTTAAGGTCTTTGTATGGTATGCTGCTTTTAACCATGCTATCGACTATCCGTTCCAAGGTTTTAAGTAGGAAGGACGTAAGACTTATCGGTCGATAGGACTTAGGTGTCGCATAGCTTCGTTTCCCTGGTTTGGGTATAAATATTACCCTTGCATCCTGCCATTTAACTGGGGTATATGTCAATTTTAAGCATGCAGTGAATATCTCTGACAGATGTACGAAAACCAGTCCCGCCTCCATCTGCAAAAGTGCCGGGAAAATGCCATCCGGCCCTGCAGCTTTATAGGGAGCATAGCTCTTGATTGCCCCTTTAACCATGTCAGATGTAATAACTATTTCCGTGTTACCCTCCCCTTCCT